AAGTACAGTTATCTTTACCTCTTTTTCATCTGAGGAATGATCAGAAGGATCTTTAGCCACATTAATTACAGGATCATCGGCCACGTCTTCTGTAGGATGAGGGCTTTCTAGATTTTCTTCTACTTCATGTTTCTTACTTTTGCTCAATCTTGTCTTTTTTTAAAGTACCAGGAGCAGTTGATTTCTTTCTTTTTCCCTGGAGATGGAAGCTTTACTAAAGTTTGTCTCGACCAATAATAGTTGTGGCCAAGAATTAGAAATCAATATTGGCCAAGTATTTTAATAATAGGGCCGATATGATTATCTTCGTATGTTAATGGATAAAAACTTTTACCTTTGGAAGGGCTGGAGGAACATCAGGGATGACGACTGATTCAGTTGTTGTAGGCTGAGGAGGTTGGCTTGAGGAAATTTCATCATCTTGGGGCTCAACGTTCTCTGGATTAGGCGAGGCTGATAAAGTTCCACTGTCTGAATCTACAAAAAAAAAAAAAAAAAAAAAAAAAAGAAGGTGTAAGAGAAATTCAATTAAAAGTTCTTTTAAAAATATATATATATGCAAGTAAAGGAATATTGTACCTTTGAGAAGGCTGGCAGTGGCTTTGGCCTTAGCTTTTCTCTCTTTATTGATCCTTGTTGGAGCATCTGCTGGCTGAGAGAAAGGGAGTTTCTTGACCATTTGTTTTTTACCTTTGGGAGGATCCTTTTAAGGCACCTTCTTTGGGGTAACGGCCCGGGAAATTACGAATGCCCCTTCAAAAGCCATAAATATGAACTTGAAAGATTCCAATATTTTAACAACAAGTGACTGGCTATCAGCCGTCCTTGTAGAAGTAATGTAAGAAGACCACCATTGATCAAAACTAGAATCTGAGGCTGGGTTCTTGATGAAGGGTTGGAATTGGAATCCGGCTTGCAGATTTGAGAACCGGGAGGACACGTTCTTTACATAGGAGTCATCTGGAAATACCACACGCCTATGGAAGTTTTTGTTGAAAGAGAAATAAGGGGGCATGGGGATCATTTGAGTCAGACCAAATTGCCTAGCAAGTTGGTTTGGATTGTAGAACTCAACTCCAACTTTTGAGTTTACTGTGCCTAGAGGGCCAGTGTTAAAGTGAAGGTCTCTTGAAAGTAAGAAACTAGCCCACATGGCCGAATGCTGGTCAGTTGATTTTTTGGTAGACACTCCTTGAGGAGGAGTCATCCATCGAGGTGCTTGTGAACAATGAGAAAATGGAAGGAATTGGCTGATAGTCCTCTGTTCACAACCGGAGTAAAAGAAATTGAAGCAATCTCCAAACGAATGGGATTTAGGTACGGCCGATGCGTAACTTACAGAAAGTAATGGGTCATTGGCCGAAGGCCTCACCACAGGTCCGAGCTCAGGAAAGTACACTTGAAGCCAAATTTGAAATAACCAGAGGGGACCACCATAGCGTCTGAAGTTGGAGGTAAGCAAGTCATAAATCCCTCTATATAAATGGGAAAGCACCAAGGGAGCAAGAGCAAGGTGTTTACCTCTTGAAAGGGCAACGGCCACATGAATGAAATCCTTTGTGACTTGAAAGGCCGGTACATATAAAAGAAACTTGTTCAGCCAGGCCAACAAGAAGGCAATATGTTCAGCATCATTCACAGGGACGCGAGGATCCATGGTGGAAGTTAAGTACTTGCCATAAGAGGATTCAGATGACTTGGTTCCAGTTTGCTTTGAAGGGAAGATGAAAGGAGAATCCTCCTCTACCAATAAGGTACTTACATCAATCCCAAAGGGTTTAAGGCCGGTTAGATAGCACACGTCTTGAATGGTTGGAGCCATCATGCCACACTTCAAGTGTAAGGAATTGGTGGTGGTCGACCAATTAAACATGGCTGCTATCATCAAGGCCCTGTCTTGGGCGATGTTAGTTTTACTTAGCTGAATGGCATCATATATGCCACAATCCTTCCATACTTCTCCCTTCACAGCTCCAACCCGGTCGACCCAATTGATCCAAGCATCATTTGGAATATGCCATGTTCTAAAATGAAAGTGTGGCAAACTGCCATTTTCATTTGGAGGGAAGGTTTGAAGGAATGGAAGAACGTCGGCCGAAGGATAGAAAGGTGAGATTGATGAAGGAGCTTCGTCAAGGAAAGCAGGACCTAAGCCTTTGAAGTCAGTACGAAGATCGATAAGGGTATTGAGACAGTATTTGTAAGGAGATAGAGTTTTTAGGGATTTTTCTATGATGTTGCCATGGGTTGAAGGATCGGAAGGTTCAGGGATAGAGGTGGAATCAGTTGATTTAGTTTTCTTAGGAGCCATAGAAGACCTCAGGAATGATTTTGCCGAGAAAGAATTTCAGATATAGAAAGTTTAAGGGAAGAAGAATGATTTTAGGGATTAGAGAGCATCAAACTAAATACTTGCTGGATGTAATAGCGGATTAGTGTAGTCACCGCTTTAATTGGGAAAGATAACCATTAAAGCAGGTGGTTGGAAAGAGAATTTATTACCAAAATTTGAATTACAATTTTAGGCCGATTCAAATTCCAAACGCTTCGTATCATAAGTGATAAAAGCATTTGAAATTCAAAGGGCATTTGTTGGCACCAAAACTTGGCAGCCACTTCAGCAGCGACGTGGACCAATGGGAAGCTGATAAGTGTTAAGCATGTCGAAGAATGGTCGACCAACGGAGAAATAGTAGGAGAAGATTTAGGAAGATATCTATATATTCAGCCACCTCACCAAAAGGGTTGTTACTAAACAACCGAGACTTGTGTTAATTTCAAAAGGAAATTTCATTAGAAATAGAACATTGAGAGAAGTTGGCTAAGGTGACATAATTAAGTTCCTATAAAATAGGGATTTAGTTATGAGAAAGGAAATTGAATCCTTATGGAAATGAAATTCAAAAGGAAGGGGCAGCCACGTGAGTGTATGGGTTAAGGCTATAAATGGTCTTCCAGCCATTTAAGGGAAATATTTCAGTCAAGCTTGAAGAAAGAAGTTGCTAAAAATCAGCAACTTACTAGCAATCTTCCAGCAGCTTTCTACCGACTTCTTAGCAATCAATATTTTCTTCAACAAAGGTATTTTATTTGAAGCAAGACGAAACAAGAGGAGAAGAGACGTGAAAGACTACTGGAGTACGACCTATTTTTAGCAACAAAGTAAAGCAAATCAAGGAAAAGAGAAATTTTAGTAAAGACTTTCCCATTGAAACTGGAGCGTCGATATTGAAGGCGAGGAATGTTGGGCCGTAGCTCAGTTTGAATTTCAAAAGAAAATGATTGAAGCAAGAGAGATTTTAGCAAGAAATAATTAGAAATTAGTTGGTTTTAGAACTTCTATAAATAGAAGTATTGTATTCCATTTCTAAGGAGTCCAGCACCACCACAAAACATGCATTTCAACTAAAAATGTTTTCAATTGACTCTACGTCATTTTCCTATCAATTTCTTTATTTCAATTTAATGGCAATTGATTAGAACCTCGTCAACTATTTCGATTCAGCTATTTATTTTCTTTCAATTTCAATTATGCCAATTTTAATTATGCAATTTTAGTTAGGCTTTCAATTCAATGGCAATTGATTAAATTCTTGCCATTGAATCGTAGTGACAATTGATTAAATTCTTGTCATTACTTGGCTGATGGCAATTGATTAAATTCTTGCTATCACGTTTCGGTGGCGATCGATTAAATTCTTGCCATTGTGTTTGGCTGGTGGCGATTGATTAAGTTCTCGCCATCACGTTCGGCCGGCGATCGATTAAGTTCTTGCCGCCTGTCTTCACTCGGCCATTCCATCCATTCAAACATTCATCAGCCGTTACATTTCTTTAGACACTCTAAAAAGTCCTTGCTACAAACAAGGCATAAAAGAACCTTGCTGGGAGTTCTTACTAGTCTCTCTCCCACACAATCGCCTGAGAGTCAGCCATCGGAAAAAGGGATAGGCTGGTGTTCAATTACATATTTTGAGTATTTTGTACAAATACTCTGGCACGCCCGCAAAGAGTCCATCGACCGGCGTAGGGAACAAAAACCGCGCAAACAGAACCATAGCGTGTTTGGGGCCTCTTCTCGATTTATCCAGCTCCATATCCTCTTTTTGTGGTGATAAACAAATTTTTTTAATTTTTTTTTTGGTTGTGGAGAACCTGGAATTGCTCAATGGCTAAGTAGGTGTCTAATATCTCTAAATATAAGATACAAAAGGTATAGCTTGAACCGCAATATATTGGTATTAAAGAATAGAAGAAAATTAGAAAAATACCTGTTTTTGTGTGCATACTTTATCCTTTTACAGTTTCAATGACATCATGAAGTTCCTCGTGGTTCTAATAGATCAAGTCACTAATTACATAGTCACAAGTAGAGTCAGATCAATGCAAATTTCCTTGTTAGTAAAGCCATATTATTTAGCTTTACAATTCACCAATATAAAACTTATCCAAAAAAATTAAGTGATATTTATAGTCCAAGCTCCTCTCTCTCTCTCAGTTAAAGTAGATTATTCCAATGCTTACATGGATGTGTATCTTTTAAAAACTATGCATCTTGTACATGTTCTATAATTCAGAATGTAAATCTGACATAGCATGGGATGAATTGATAATTAATTTCCATTCTCTGTTATCTCCCTGGTTTTTCTCAGTTCATTTGGTTCTAGGTATACTTTTCTATACTCCTTGCATTATAGGTTTTAAAGAATAAGCTGTAATTGAAACAAATATTGTAAATACTAGTCACCCGATATACTTGTGCTATGGTCCTCTTGAATTGAGCAGCAGTCGAGTAGCATGTTTCCCTAGTCTTGGTAAAAGTCGTTCTCAGGCATAAATTATTGCAGTTCAAATGTGCATTGGCCACTGATGCATTTACCAAATTTAGATGTTTCCTCTCTTTTTTTCCCATAAATCTATACTCTTTTTTTCCCGTTCAGTTTTATATTCTGATTTAATCAGTTTGAAGACTTATCTTATGAATTTAATGTGTTTTGTAGTCATGCAATACTTATCTATCTTGCTTGTGCATTTCCTGGAGTTGCAGACCATTGGTGAGAATCGTCACTCCCTTTGTTGCTATTGGTTTCAAATTAGAATCTATACTACATGAATACTTCACCTTGTGAGAAGCACCAGCGTGTTACATTAGGGAGTATAGGTACGGGTGTTAGATATGTACCAACACATTCCCTGCAGGTGTCTCTTTGGATTTAGTAGCACATTTTATTCTTGTCTGCTAAAATATTCTTGGGTGATGAATTTCACACGTAAATATTTTTTTTTTTTTTGATAAGTAAACACACGTAAAATTTGAAATGAGTACAGATGCCTTCTGTTTGAGTTTTGTAGGTTATAACCTAGACCTGGATTCAAGTTCCCCGAGGAACTTTAACATTGCATTATTTTATGAAGTTGGCAAACCTTGAATCTTTGATAGTTTGCTCATATCCGAAAACAGAAAGTTTCCACGTAAGACATGCTATGTCAAATGCATACTTCATTTATCCCATCATCCCAGAGTATAGAAAAACAAAATCAGACCACACCAACAATTTTGTCATCCCTTCTTGTAACGACCCGAACCCGAGAGTCCGAATCGCTAACCGGGTCCTTACCCGAACCTGAGGTCAGCTAAAAACGTTACCGTCCTTTCCTATATCAATACATAATATACGTGTCATCCCAGGGTTTATAAATAATAATAATAATAATAAAATGAGATCATAGCTACAAAATATGTCAAACAGTTCACTAACCCATCAAAACCTGTGGAGGAACGTCGTCCGCCACTTCCTTCCTGTGACCTGAAAAATGTTAAAATGATGGGATGAGCTGAACGCTCAGTAGGAAGTGTCTAAGAAACACCTCTTGTGACCCCGTGAATCCACATAGATAATAGAAAGGAAGAGAGCAGGATCATGTCTCGGGAGTCAAGTAAAACCACCGTATCATTAACAAATATACATATCTCAACCAATTACCAAATGCACCACGTATGCCAATGATGTGCCATGCCATGCAATGTCACTCCCCGTTTTCGAAACCATATCGTTTCAACTTCCAAACCGTTAGTGTAATCCGACCCAAGGCACTTCCAAAGCGTCATGAAAGGGGGATTAGCTAACCATCCACGACCACAAGGCATCTCCAAGGCGTCGCATTCGGCCTGGTTAGTTCAACCACACTAGGGTCTCTCCCTAGTCTCCTCTCTAGACTACACTAACACTACGGACCACTAGGCGCCTCCTAGGCGTCCGGGGTTTGACAAATACTTTTCAAAAACTTTTCCCCAAAATAATTTCATTGGTTTTATAAAAAATATAGTTTTCCCATTTTTCTTTCCTAATAGATGCATAAATGTTTCATGATTCCAAATGCCAAATTCAACAACTATATTCCATACATTTTACCCATATCATAATCTCAACTTATAAAAGAATATTTTAAACATTTATTTCTACGATTATGACATCAAATTTTCATGGCAATTGAAATAAATAAAGTAAACAACTTGTCATTTCTTAGCACGCTTCTTCACTACAAGGATATAATTAAATTTACAACTCATTTATCACATAGCATTCATCTACCACTTTACATATAATCAACCACAATCACAGTCAAAATACATGCTTATAGTCAATTTAAGAAGGAAAATTCACATAGAACCTAAGAAATTGTGAATTAGAGCACCCCTACCTCAAAAGTAGCCAAAATACATCCCTGGCCGGAAAAGTCAACGCCGGTCAACGCCGTCAATGCCGGTCAACAAAAGTCAACGCCGGTCAACGGCTGCGGAACAGAAAACTGTTCGGTGGGAACGTAGCTGTCGAAGAGGAGATTCTACTGTTCCAAAGGCTCATCTCCGGAATCCAACTCTAAGTGGCCCAAAACCTCATCCGAAACCTTAGATCCAAAAATTTCAAAAATTCGTAAAATAATCACCGCTCCTCTGAAAAATAAATCCTTTGACTATGTAATAGAGAACGATGAGAGGAACGTTTTCCGTTAAGGAACTAAGACCGGAAACTCGACCGATTGGCCGAAAAATGGAGGAGAATAATGAAGCTTAAAGAAAAAAAGAAAAAAAAAAATAGAAAAGAAAACAGAGGGAGGTTTGGCCGCGAGAGAGAGAAGAACTGATAGCCAAAATGGTTAATAAGCCATTATAAGGCTTAGTGACGTGGCGGGTCCCGCAGAAAAAGTATATTTTTATTATAACATTAATATATATATATACACACACACACACACACATAAATTCACAAATTAATTTTACAACCACACAATCCAGCATACACCCATGAAATATGCTACAAATAACAGCCTCGATAGCGGGTCCCACCTGGGACCTCTCTGCATGAAAAATGGAAAAAAGCTGAAATGGTATCCATTGCATTTCCAAGAGTCCTGAACTCAAAGAAATGACCCAACCAACTCTCAAACACACCTGACACACCCCACGATGTCCGACACAATACAAGACAAGAAGAAAATAATCCAGAAAATCGAAAAAATCCCAAAAAAAATGAAAAATGGTAAAAATGAAGATCATTACACTTCTTGTCCTCAAATTGTAGGTTGGACAAATTCTACACCCATCCTGCATATGTTGTCCACACAATTTTGTTGTTTTTCAAAATATGTTACTTTTCTCATTTAAAGGATTTCTTACATCTCAATGTCTCTATATCCCTTTTTTTTTTTCAATTTGCATATTCTTTAGGCGGATTGTTAACATAGTTTCTGTTCACTTTTAAAGGTATCCAAATGATCTATTCAGAAGAGCCAAGATCCACTCAGTATTGGATTGGCATCACTCAAATTTACGCCATGGTGCATGTAATACTCCGATATTTTAAAGGATTTATTAATTGGGATTAATTAGTTTTATTTTATTTTTAAATGATTTGTTTGATTTAATTGAGTTTAATTGTATTTTTAAATGATTTGTTTTTATTTAATTGAGTGCTTAGATTAATTGTCTTATTTTAATTAGATTATATTTCGTGATTATATTTGTTGAATTGAATGATGTTTTGCTTTGTGTAATGTTTTGATTAAATTGTTTATTTGATTTGTGTGTATTTATGTTTGTGTGAATTGTTTGTTAATTATTTGTAATTATTAGATTTATTTTTATTATTTTAATTATTTTGTTTTAATTTGATTGGGCTTAAAGAGGAGTGGGACCAATGGATGTGGTCTTAGGCTTGAAGGAAGCCTTGTTGAGTTAATTATTAAAGGCCCATGGTTATGAGAATATTTAAATAATTATCTTTGCATAATTATATATATAATTATATGTATATAAATATAATTAATTAATAATTATTATGGAGGGGTATATATGTCAATATATATATATTGATATATACAGGTATATATATGATTTAATAAATTAATGATTAATTATGGAAGGTTTTATATGGTAGTCATAATTGGAAAAGGATTAGGATATTAATGTGGTTATATATACACATAAGGATTAGGGTTAAAAGGTTTTTACGTGAGAAAAATAAGAGAAACAGAGAGAAAAGAAGAGAATGTTGACAAGGAGGAGGCCGGATCTGAGAAAGAAAGCCGGAATTGGAAGAGACAATCAAAACTTGAAGCGTCGGTTTCGTTTTGAAACCAGGCGAGTTCTTCTCTAACTTCCCTCTTAGAACTGATAAGGATTTCACTTTGAGTATCAATGTTTAGATTAAATTTATTTGTTTAAAATAATGGTTAGATCGGAATAATTAAAATTATAAATTATTATATTTAATTTTTGGAATTGTTGAATTTTAATTATATATATAGGTTTTATATGTTTAAAATCAACTATATGCTTGATCTGTGACCCAAGAGGGTTATTTAGGGTTTATAGAATTTTTGGGAATTTTCTGGTATTTTTCTATATTTTTAGGAATTTATTATATTTTATTTTCTTATAATTGTTGAAAAATTATGTATAAATATATACTGTTTATATACATGCACGTCTGTGAATCGGCGCATCAAGGGGCGAGAAATCCAGTGTGGGCGAGTGCATGGGAAATTGGTACACAAGCTGATCTGGACCATTGGATTATTTAAAGGTAACTAGATTGATTCGGTGTGGTGCAAGTCTATGGAGACTCAGTGCACCACATAAATGGACCATAGATTAGATATGGTCAATGGAGCAAAAAATCTGGTGCAGCGCTCACCATCAGAGCTGTTGTAGCAGTGAATAAGAGTGCGCCACGTGTCAGCATCTTAGTCTTTAATCCGGTGCAGTCACGCTCACAGTAGCAATTGAGCTCAGCGTATTATGTTGCTTGTTTTGTTACTTGAAATTGAAACGATCATTTTCATTCATTTTAAATCGAAATTGGGTCATTCTTGAGTTCAAATTTAAGGATTTTTCGTCCTCTTTCCAATGATACTGATTTCATTATCAGATTCCCATGCTACTAGGAGGTATTTACGTTTCAGTAAGACGATGTCGGAAAATTATTTAAACCGAGATGGAGTATTTATGGGAAACCATTTATGACAATATTTTGTAGCATTTAATTTGTATAAATATAATTAAATTAATATGTTGGTAATGGAAGGAGGTATATATATATATATATACATATTTATTTATATATGTGTATATCTAGTTTAATTAATTTATGAGCTGTATGGATGGACGTGTATATATATATATATATATATATAATTATTGATACATATGTATCTATGGTTTTAAATAATCAAGGATTATTAAGGAGATTATTAAGGAAGGTGTTATACATACATACATATATATATATATATATATATATATATATATATTAAATAATATATGTGTAAATGTATATATTATTTAAGATGATTAATATTATTAGTCTTATTTGGTATATCTGGATATGTTGGTTATTAAATTAATTATATGCATATGATATGCATGGAATGCTTAGGTATGAGTTGTTTTGTTGATAAGTTAATTTGTCTATGTAAGAATTATTTGGTTGATAAATTAACTTTTAAGGTTTGGTACGTGGTTGAATTGTAGGTATGGATGAGTTGCCAAAGGCTTAAATATATGGCCTAAATATTTGTATATACATAGGAAGTATGGATAAGTTAAAAGTATAAATATATATACTTGTGGAGGCATGGCTGAATTGTCAATGTATAAATAAATATACTTGTGGAGGTATGGTTGAGTTGCCAATATATAAATAAATATACTTAAGGAGGTATGGTTGAGTTGCCAATATATAAATAAATATATTTATAATGGCATGGTTGATTTGCCAAAGCGTAATTGAATTACTATATGTTAGATGATTAAAATTTCATCTAAGGTATTGTATATGTAAGTTGGATTAGGATTAGATATTCTTATATTAGAATAATTTAGTACTTACAGGTTAATTATTATTTTATAATATTAATAAAATAATATTGGTGGAGACATAGACAATTTGTCAAAGCATAGATATTGGTTGTGTGATTTAAATAATTAAATCATTATTGAGTTTTAAATTAAATATAGTGTTCCTTTAATTATATTTTATTATTTAAATAATTAAATAATTGCCTAGGATGAGATTAAGGTTAAATGAGTTTCTTTTTAAAAGAAAAGAATTGTGGATTGGTTTAGGAATGATTATTAATTTTAATCATTGTGTAATGGTTGTGAAATTTAAATGAACCTATTAATGGATGGGATTATTGTATTATATATTATTTATATATATGTATATCATGCTATATTAAAGTTAAAACTTTATTAGGATTGGCTTTGGTCAGAAATGATTTTTTTATTGGTTTTCAGAGGCCTGGTAGAGAGAACTTGCCCGTGGGTCTGACCCACGATTTATTTTTCAGGTTATTAGAAGGTTCAAGTCTCAAGGTTGAGGATTCGCAACTGGAAGACTTATCCATTCTTTCTATTTTATTTCAAAGTATGATATTATTACTACAGTATTTATTGATGAATTTCTTAATAGTGGATTTTAGTTAAGGAGTCCTTAAGTTACGAGATTCCCGAATTGTAACCATTTGAGAGTTATTAATGGAAATTATTATTTATTAGTTTTCTTCAGCGTATTATTTATTTTTTATTTCATTTTGTAATCTGTGCTTATTTGAAATAATTTAATTGTTTTGATATCTCCTAATTTTGTGCGCGGATTTGATCAACCCGTGTTTCGAAATTAGGGGTATCACAGTGCAGGTGCTTCATATTTGGCTCCCTAAAATGTTTTTGATTTATAGTCATGCCACCACCACCATGTGTGGTCATGGTGAGTAATTGTGGGTCCTCTCCATCACACAGGCCACCTGCCTCTTGTCACGCATGCCACCCTTTTTAAGTCATAAATAATCATTTTTTATGAGAGTTGAATCAGTGATCTCTTGCAGGTGAATTATGGGGTTGGTTGTGACAAAATTCAGGTTCTGTAAATTAGTTTGTAGCCACACCTTTGTATATAGTGTTCACCTGTTTCTTAGTTGTGGTGCCCCTCTCTACAAGTCCTTATGGTGCAATTATTATATATAATAGTACAATGGAAAGGGAGACATTAGGAAAAATATCTATTAGTGACAAAATGAGAGCAAGCAGGCTTAGATGGTATGGATATGTTCAACGTAGACCTATAGATGCACCAATGAGAAAAGGAAGATTAGTTTACATGGCAGGTAAGAGATAATAAGGCCGACCAAAACTAACTTGGGATTAAGTAAACTAGAAATGAGTTGAAAACAAATTAAATATAAGAGAAGACACTGTGTGTAAGAGAATAGAATGGAAAAAGAGAATTAATGTGGCTGACCCCATTCATTCCCATTCTTTTGAAAGAAAGGAAACGATGAGGATGAGTATTATTGCATCATTATTATTTTATATAACAATTCATTTGCCCTTTTGCCCTTTTTAGTGGGTTATGGCTTTCTTGGTTGATAGTTTGACACCCTTCTCTTTTCCCCCCTGTGAAGTCTGTGTACATAATTGTGTGTGTGTGGTGTGTGATTTAAATGAAAAAGAAAAAGAGAAAAGAAATATAAAATAAAGTGGGACCCACATCACTTTTTAAGTGATTTGTGAGACCAAAATTGGTCTCTGCTGCTCTCTCTCTCTCTCTCGACTGCTCTCGGCTTCTCCTTTTTTCTTTTTTCTTTTTTCTTTTCTTTTCACTTCAACTTCCATTGTTGATTGCTCCTTCATCTTTTGTCGGATTGAGGTGCCGTTTGAGGCAAAACGAAGCTTGTAGCGAGCTCTACACATCCATACTATCAATTTCCAGATTTGAGTCTTCCTTGGAGCTCGAATTTGGAGGACCTATTCTAGGGATTTCGGCTTGGATTGTGAGGTAGGGACATCTTAAGCCATGGAATCTTGCTCTATAATGAATCATGCTCCTCTATGTGTGTTATAGCATGTTTAATTGTTGTTGATTTTGATTAAAATGATTTAATTGACAACATGCTAGTTATGTAAATGTGTATAACATGGTTGAATGAAAAGTATGTCTATGTGATGGTTGTTTACATTTTTTTTTTTAAGTTACTAACATGCTATAATGATGCCATGAGAACATGCTTATTTATTATTGTGCTAAGTTCCCATTTGTCATTATATTGAGATCATGACATGAGCCAACATCTCATTAGGTTGCATGAAAAAGGGAAGTGGTTGTCTTGAAATGAAAATGGGGATTTGGGAATGAATGTTTTGGAAAAAAATTGGTTTTGACAAACTCGGTCGCTGCGGGGTTACCAACGGGCCGGAGGTTAATGTAGCCTAGGGAGGACTAGGGAGAGTACCCTAGCGTGGTTGAGCTATTCGGGCCCCTCGACGGCGCCACGGGGTCACCAAGGGCCTAGGGACGGTAGCCAATCCTCCTCTCGTCGCGGCGGGGTTACCAAAGGGGGTTACATTAACTTTGAACGTGATGGTTTTGAGAATGAAAACGGGGAGTGACTTTAGCATGCATTGCATCTCACTCCATTTGCATTTGTGTGTGATTGAATTTGACTTGTACTTGTAATTGTTTTTCCCCTTCAATGCATGTCCCCAATCTCCCATTGGCCTATGCTTTATTTGGATTCACTAGGACACAAGAATTATGTCTTAAGTGTCACCTGCTGAGCTATATGCTCACCCCTATATCTATATATATATTTTTTTCAAGTCTTGGAAAGAAACTGGTGGATGACAACCCACCTCAAGCTTGAACGGCGATAGAAGTCCACTTTCGTATCTTTGTATATTCCCCATTATTTTGTAAAACACTAGAAGTGCAAAGATGTATAATTATTTTGTGGAACTTTGTCATGTAATATAACTAAAGTATCGATGATGTTTTGGATGGGGATTTGATAGTATGCAACTTGTTGATGAATGGATGGATAATCCTAGTTTGAAGCATTGTCTAGATTAGTTGGTTATATCATTATCTTTTGTTGCCGTGAATTCGGAATTTGAGCCATGACAGGTTAAAAATGCAATTAAACAGGTTGTGATAGGCCTATTTTTAGGGGAGGTCATGCCGAATTTTTTTTGTTTAAAAAGTATTAGTTTTGAGTCGTTACACCCCCTTTTTTTTTTCAGCTTCATTTGTTCTAAATATGGTACTAGGACCTTCACTTGGTCTTCCAACTAGTCCACAAGCAGCTGCTGAAGCTGAAAAATTACTGTCTGCATCTCTTGCGAAGATTGAATCCTTTTGGCTGAAAGGGAATGGGCGGTTTTTGCTTGGAAGCTTCCAGCCATCCATAGCAGATCTCAGCTTAGTGTGTGAAATTATGGAACTAGAGGTATTTCATATAGTTTATTAATATTGTCATCTATATTTTTTCTCAAAAAAAGACTGAAGTAATCATCTGCAGTTAGAGCGCCCCTCTTGATTAGACTGTAACCTTCAGAAGTACCGATGTCAAGAGAAAAAATATACGTATCTATGGAAGAACATATCTTCATGTTTTAAGAGAATTCTTTCATGAATTCTGACTGACTGGTCAACTGATATCCAGTTGTGTTTCTTGTTAAACAGATACGTACCTATTTATAGAAGTTTATTGCTTAGAGAGAATTTGAGTGATCAGGAAGCAACTGTAACATCTCATTAAAAACTTTTCTGATGGATTTAGATTTTGGACGAGAAGGATTTCAGTCGAATATTAGGCCCACACAAGAAAGTTCAGCAGTGGATCGAGGATACAAGGAATGCAACAAGGCCGCATTTTGATGAGATACATTCAAGCCTCTTCAAAGTCAAAGTGAGATTTCAAAAGCAGCTGTCTGGGGGAACAAATGAGCCTGAGTCTAGCATGAAAAAGGGATTCCATTCAAAGATGTGAGAACAGATCTCTGGTCTTTTCTGTCCGGGCTCGATGCCTATGCGGCAGGGCAAATGAGGAAGACACAGTCTAGTATAAACACAACTTTGTTACTTTATTTTGTTGTGATCTCTGTAATAAATTTCTGGTCTGGTCTATAAAATAAACTCTAAGCCATGTGTACATCTCTTGTCTAAGCAGAAGGCATTCCTGTTGATTGGTAGAATTGCAACTGTCCGGTCATTGAAAAGGCTTGGATAGCTCTTTTTATTGTTTGTATTGGTTGAGTTAGGTTTTGTTGGGTCTTGATCATCTAAACACAATCAAAACCCACCTTAGATTATGATTATTATTTTAGCTCTCATCCAATCCGGTCATTGAAAAGGCTTGGATAGCTTATTGATTTATTTATTTTTATTGCTTGCATTAGTTGATTTAGGTTTTGTTAGGTCTTGATAATCTAAACACACTCAAAACCCACCTTAGATTATGATTATTATTTAGCTTTAATCGTCATTGAAAAGGCTTGGATAGTTTTTTTTATTGCTTGCATTGGTCGAGTTAGGTCTTGGAAACACAATCAACTCCCACCTTAGATTCAGATTTTTTTATTTATTATTAAACCACTTTACAATAAAAATTATTATTATTAACACGAGGTCAACTCACCCTTGGAAAGATAAGCTTAAGTACTTCAATGGGAGATACTCTTTTGGGTTTGGACTAACAATTTTATATCTTGAGCTTAGGATATGTGCAATCAGTTCGAGTAGCGGCATCCCTAATTTTTTCTCTTTCAGTATTTAAACTACTAATGAAAGGAAGTGTCACTAAATTTTTACTAGGCGGTGGCGGTGGAGGTGGTGGGAGGCCGCAACGATGATGGTGGTGTGATGGAAAGTGGTGGTTGCGGTGGAAGGCGGTAGTGTGGTGGTGACAATGGCGGCGGTGATGTGAAAGGGGGTTTCTGTCTTATGAATTGAACAATAAACCTAGGTCAGAGCTAATATGGAAAAAAGGTGACCGTGGCGGCGATGATATGAAAGGGGGTTACTGTCTTATGAAATTATTTTATTTTAATTCTAGCTGAGAACGAAATGAGCATTCCAAGGTCAAGGAAAGGAATGGGGGCATTTCAATTTTTTTATGAATTCGCATTCCAAGGGAGCTGTCATTCTCTAATATTGCACACCAAACAAAAGAAAAGGAATCAAGAGGTAGAATGACAAAAAGCCTCTCATGAGAAAAAGTTGATATCAAACCTACATCCTGAGAAACAAGCAAACAACACCTTTATATACAAATTCTCATTGTCCTATTACTTGATCATAAGCAAACTTCAGTTCACATGGATGTACACAATGCTGAATTTAGTTGAGTCACAATCATTCACTCAACTATTATTCCTCTTATCTCAAGGTTGTCCAGCTTCTTGGGTCTTCTGTAATTCTTCAACAAGAGAGAACAGCAAACAACACTAACTGAAGAGGCTGCCATTGCAGCTCCAGCAATCCATGGGGGTAGCCGTAAGCCGGTTGATGGGAAGAGAGCCCCAGCAGCAATGGGGATGCCCAGGACATTATAACCCAATGCCCAACTGTAGTTCAAACGAATCCTGGAAAAGGTTTTCCTCGATAGATCGATGGCAGTTATCACATCTTCCAAATTGCTCTTCATGAGAACAATGTCAGCTGCTTCAATGGCAATGTCTGTGCCCGCACCAATTGCCATTCCAACATCTGCAGCCACGAGTGCTGGCGAGTCATTTATCCCATCTCCCACCATTGCCACAATATAGCCTGATGCCTGAGGATGTTAGATTTATAATTTATCAGAATGAGAGAGGCTATAATCCGGCTAGATGAACCTCGGTTTTTTATGGTGAACATGCATGCCATAACTGATTCAATCTTTTTACCTGTAGTTCCTTCACTTTCGTTGCTTTATCTTCGGGCTTGGCTTGTGCAACGACAGTGTCAATTCCTACTTCCTTGGCAATGGAATTTGCAGTTCCCCAATTGTCACCTGTCACCATTATACTCCTGATTTTCATAGACTTGAGAATGGAAATGACTTCCTGAGCAGTAGACTTCAATGGATCAGAAATGGCTACAACTCCTGTCAGTTCCCCATCTATAGCTACAAGAATTCCTGTTTGAGCCAACTCTTCAGTTTCTGCAAGCATTTCTTCAGCATCAATTGGGATGGCAATGTTGTGGTTCAACATCAAGCTCTTGTTTCCCACAAGTATTTCCTTTTTCCGAACAACAGCTTTAACGCCATAGCCAGTAATTGATTCAAAGTCTCGAGCTTCTGGCCAGACAGGATTCCCTTCATCTTCTTTAAATTTCTTGCCATATTCAACAACAGCCTTGGCCAAGGGATGCTCACTGTTGACCTGATACAACACACCAACAATATCATCACTGGTCTGTTAAGAGACCAAGTAAATGCAAGTTCTTTAGCTAGGTCAAAGTTTTAGGAACCATTAAAACTATTTCTAATGCCAAAGATGTCAGATGTGATTAGGTATTTCTAATTTCTAGTATATAAAAATATCTCACAATTATGGAAGTTCTGAACAGAAAATTTTACCTCAGCTGCAGAAACCAGTTCATAGAATTCTTGAAGTATCATATTCTTCAAGAGCCTTGTGTTAACAACCACTGGCTTACCAATTGTGAGAGTGCCAGTCTTGTCAAATATAATGCAGTTCACCTGCAAGAAGAGTTTTTTTTTTTTCTTTTTGGTTTTTGTTCACTATACAATTTTTATACATACAGAGATTAAGATAAGTTCAGATGGTGACCTTATGTGCACTTTCTAGTGCCTGGCCTCCTTTGATAAGAACACCTTGAGTAGCACCCACTCCAGTGCCAACCATGACAGCAGTAGGAGTGGCAAGGCCAAGAGCACACGGGCAGGCTATAACCATGACAGAGATACCAAACTGGAGTGCAAGCTCAAAACCGTCCATGGAAGAAGGTATCCAGGATTTTGAGTAGGCATTGAACCTTCCAGCTAAAAACCAGACAAGGCACGTGGAAAACGAGAGAATTATAACCTGCAAAAGATTGCCAATTGTTAACAGAGGCCAAGAAACACTATTGTGACTTCAGAGTACAGAAAGCGTTCCAATACTTACCAGAGGAACAAAATATTTGGAAATTTGATCAGCAAATTTTTGCACTGGAGCTTTAGCCATCTGTGCTGATTCAACAAGTCGAACAATCTGTGCCAGAGCACTCTCTGATCCAACGCGAGTTGCCTTAATATGTAATACCCCATTCTCGTTCACAGTGCCTCCAATCACTGCATCGCCCTTTCTCTTTGCCACTGGTCTGGCTTCCCCGGTTATCATGCTCTCATTTACATGGCTTTGCCCCCAAATGACAAAACCATCTGAAGCTACTTTTGCACCAGGAATAATTTTAATCACATCATTTTTTTGTATCAACCGACTATCTATTTCTTCTTCACTTATCACATTTCCTTCATCATTGAGAGTTAAGAGTGTTGCTGTCTCCGGAGCCAAGTCCATAAGCTTGGCAATTGCCGCTGATGTCTTTCCCTTGGCCAAAACCTCGAGATACTTGCCAAGTAGTATAAAAGAAATGAGCATTGCACTAGTCTCAAAGAAATCCGTGCCCATAAAATTTGGAGAAGTTGCAGCTCTTAACACGGAATAGACTGAATAGAAGTAGGCTGCATTTGTTCCCAAGGCGATTAAAACATCCATATTCGCAGAGCCATGGAGTAGTGCTTTGTATGAACCAGTGTAGAATCGTCTGCCAATAATGAACTGTACTGGAGTGGATAGTACCCACCTTATAATCTCTCCATCGGTCATCATATTGACAACTTTTGTTTTCAGATACATATGAAAGACCATAGAGGCTAAAAAAACTGGAACTGTGAAAACCAAACTCCAAAGAAAGGACATGTAGTATTTCTGAATTTCTTGTTGTCCACCGGATTCTCTTCCTCCTTCAGGAAATATGGTTGCCTTGTAACGCCCAGATCCAGTTGACTCAACCACCTGAATAAAATTCCTGGGTCCTGTAACGTCTGATTTATAAGAAATGGAGATTTTTTTAAGCTCGGGATCAACTTCTATATCTTGAACTCCTGGAAGTGCTTGAAGAGATTCTTCAATTATTCTCATGGAATTATCAGTCCGTATTCCATCAATTTTCAAATGTATTTTGTTCCTGTCTTCCCCAGTACTAATCAGTATGGCTCCAAATCCAGTATCTTCTATGGCTTCCAGTAGCTGGATGTAATTCACGATCTTCGGATGATATTGAATTTCTGCTTCTTCGGTTGCCAATGCAACTCGGGCTTTTTGTACACCAGGAATTACTTGTAAAACAGATTCTACAGTTGAGGAGCAAGAAGTGCAAGTCATTCCTTTAATTCTGATTCGGCATATGGATTTCTCATTTGTCTCTTCTTTAATCAATGTTGCCAGAAATCCAACATCTTCAATGGTCTCACGGATAGTTTCTTCCTACACATTGGAATAAAAAGACGGTAAGTTCTCCCTACCAAGTGATATGGTAAGCATATTGAAATGAAATATGGAATGGAAACGAATGGAAAGAGAAGAATATAGAAGTAAAATATTGTCTGCAAGAAGGAACAGGACAAATTTAATATTGCATTAGATTGTGACTAATGCAACTTTCTCAGCTGATTCGAGTAAAGAATGAATAAGCAAAGGCACCCACGATCCTTTTATTGATCTGTATATGCGTATTAGAACTCTCAGTAACATGTACAGAAGTCTGCAGTAGCAGTATCAGTATCAGAATCACTAATACTAATCTATATAAACATTTCAAATTAACGTGAAAATCGATAACAAGAAGAATGCATAAAATATATATGGTAGTAACAATAGCACATACAAACATCAATATGCAGATGTGTGATCACCAGGATAATAAGTACTATTAATGTTGATCGATCAAAATGGAATTTGTAACGACCCAAAAATAATAATAAATAAAAATAAAAATAAAAATTTCCGCATGACTTCTACAGAAAAAGTCCTACTACGACTTGGCGAAATACATATAAAATGCAATGGTCTCACTTGGCCTCAAAACTAATCTATCATGTCCCAACGCACAATGCAATAATATACAAGATTCCCAAAATCAATACATACATACAAGATGTCCCGTTCTTCCATCTCCTCCAACAAGGAATCACTTTAATTAAGTTATAGTCCATGATATATATTTATTTACACAAATTCTACTATTACAACACTGTACAAGTTACACTTAATTTTTTTTTTTTATAAAAGGTACATGATCATGTTTCTATATAAAAGACAACAAATAAGAGTTCTAGTCT